TTTTTTTTAATTTGTGGTTAGAAGCAAACTGCAGGGTCCTGGAATAAAAGACAGAGGAAAATCCTGGACAGCATGATATCATTTTCCCTCTCATTGACCTTCACTTTCCACAGTGGTGAGCAGGAGGTCTGGGGACGATTAGAGGGTTCAGCTGTGGCTCCATCCTGCCATTACCCATTTCATCAGGATGTACACAGCATGGTGTGATGAAAGCTTTTACTTATTTACTGGACCTGTTGATAGATTTCTGTGCCTCAGACATTTTGGCTTTTTATCATTCATTTAATTTGAACTGACCGAGCTAAATTAGGATGAAACTCTTAGATGCAAATATGATGCCATCTGCTGTTCAGACTTCATAGTTACAGCATTTCAGGAGAAGTGACATTAAATTTAAAATAAATTAAGTTAAAAGCCTGGAAAATATACCTGTAAACCTGTCTTCACCTAATATTTCTTAACTTCAAGTCTATGGAAGCGTAATATTGCCATTTAAATTAAAAACACATGAGAAATAAATTAAATTCGTGTGTTTTTTTTCCCCACCACCTGCTTTGGTATACCAGAGAGGCAACAAGACAAGCCCCCAAGTAGATTTTGCAGGTGGTGTCCACAGACCATTGCTCTCTCCTTGCCGCTCCTGCTTGATTTTTTTCCTATTTCTGCTGCTACTGGTATCACAACATGGTACCTGTAGTCCAGCTCCTTCATCCACATGTGCCATCATAAGAATAGGACGTCATGTTAAAGTGTGACGATGAATTGTTTGTGGTAAAAAAGGAGCAATACAGATGTGATGTTTGCTTTGAGAGAGTTGATGGAAAAGTATAACGAAAGTCAGAAAGAGCTGCCTGAGTCTTTGTCGATCTAGGGAAGGCACGTGACAGCGTGCCAAGAGAGGAAATTAGGAGTGGCAGAGAAGTATGTGAGGGTAGTGCAGGATATGCAAAAGGACCGACAGACAGACAGGTTCATGCAGATCGGGTCAGAGTCCCTTCTTGTCTGCAGTGGAGGCCGACAGGCTGACAGATGAGGTCAGGCAGGAGACTCTGCGCATTATGATGTTTAGAGATGACATTTCGATCGGTCGTGAGAGTAGAAAGTAGGTGAAAGAGAGCCTGGAGAGGTGGAGGTATGCTCTGTAGAGAAGTCAGTAGACAGGTGGAAAAGTGAAGCTATGAAGAGCAGAGATAGTGAAGGTAGGGGAGTTTATACACCTGGAGTCAACCATCCAAAGCAAGAGAGGTGAAGAAGAAAGTGCAGGCTGGGTGGAGACAGCAAGAGTTAAGTGGAAGGCTCACTCAGTGAGGCATGTTAGCACACAGGAGGTGGAAAACTGCAGCTTAGGCTGAGGAGTGTGGAGAGTGCTCAGAGTAGCATGTCAGAGAGGCATGGCTGAGATGATTTGGACATGCATGATGAGGAGGTATAGGAGATACACAGTGAAGGAGGTCATGCAATAGGATGTAGGGATAGAGTGAGATGATCTGTGGTGGCGACATTAAAGGAAGCAGCTGCTAGTAGAGGATTAAACACAAGTGCAGCCCAGTAGCTTATTAGTCTGTTTACATTAGAATAATAAACCTTAAGTTTCCCCATTATAATTAAATGTCTTGTGTGAAGTGGCATCTGTTACACAAAGATAACAGTGACTGAGCAAAGTATGAAAACATATTTTATTAAAGATTTATGTACAGTAATGAAAACACATCTGCATGGCTTCTGAAACATCATTCAGGTCCCACTCAGCGCTCACACAGAAAACCTCAACATCTGCTACAAACAGTTTGGCCTACACACTCATCAAGCTACAAAAGTCCAAAGGTTTGGCAGGCTGTCCGAGTGAAACCATCGTAAGTTAGTCCCAGACTCCATTAAGACCAAAACACCATCACCCTCTCTGTTAATCACCCAAGGCTGCGATGGTGTAACTGGCACAGTTTTGATTGGAGGAGATCCATTACATGTCATTATCAAGGAAACGCACAGAAGAATGAACATGGTGCTCCACAGGCACAGGAGTATTCCCCCCCCTAAACTTAAGGATTACTTAAAGAATTCAAGATTTCACAGCAAAACGAGGAGGAACAAGGAAGGAGTGTGTGCTCCTGCGGGATGTGGAGGAAATACACATTCAGATGGCTTTAGAGCATTTCTACTTAAACTGGGCCACAAGTGTTTCTACGTTCCAGAGTACTGGCCGAGAAGGTAAACACAGTTGACTGAAAATTTGAACATTTCTGCAGGATGGCAGAGAAAAAATACGATTCGTACGCGACAGTATTTCCGGCACTGGGCAGAGCGCATTCTCAATCACGGCCAATGCGTTCTCTCACAGTTTTCCAGAAAATTATTCAGATTCAAAGTAAATCCTCTAAATCCTTTGCCCTCGTTTGGCCTCTCCACCAAATTTCGTGACATTCAGCCGAGTAGTTTTTTCACAATCTTGCTGGTACAACAGAAAAACTCTCACGTTTGATGGAGGAACCACGTATAGATAAGACTCTGTGAAACGTAAGAGTCATCGTTCATCAGCCTCACTGGACTTCATGTAAACCGCAGAGTTACGGCCCCTCTAAACACCACTTCCATTCAGAGAAGCATATTTAAGGCTTGGTTGGCTGTTGCTGGACGAGCTCGCTGGTCTCCAGGCAGCACCGTCGTTCGAACTGCCGACTTCAAACACTTCGTGAATGGCTTTTCGGAAACAATGAAAGTTGTACTCTATCAAACCTGCAAAGAAAATTAGAGAGCATGTTTACAATTGCGTATAGTGTTTGTGTGTTTATTATGTGAATTTCTTCAGGTTTTTACACATTTACGTAGGAAGATTTTCCTGATAAAGCCAACACGAGCAATTGCAAAAAATAAAAGTACACACCTTTCCTCTCAAAGCTCTCCTCTCTGAGGATGCAGACGAGCGCGAGGAACTTCGTGACCTCTTTCAAATAAAGCACTGTGGTGTTATTGAGCTTGATGATCGCCAAAGACTCCTCATCATAGGCGGAGCCGCTGCCGTCCTCCAGCCTGGCAGGCAAAGAGAAAAGCACCTCTAAACGCTGTTCTTCGCCAAAGCTCAAAACAAATCTGATAGCTTTTCTCACCCGTAAATGCTGGAGATGTCGAGGACCACGTCGATCATGTCGCAGCAGAGTTCGTAGGACTGCATGTCCACGGGGGCGCTGTCTGTGGCTATGTAAATCTTGCTACTGACATCGAATAGGAAGGCCTTTTCAATCCCGGAGTGCTGCAAAGCATGAGAGATGTTTATTATAAGAAAAAGAAAATACAATGAGGCTTTTTATTGTGGTTCAAATAACATAAATGAAACATACAGATATGAAAATGTTCAAAAGGTTCTCCAGTGTTGGCAACTGAGGAATAAGCTTCTGGACGACTTTACTGAAGGCCTCGAATATGGAGTGGTCGTAGATGCTGGTCAGGTAGAAGCTGAGGACACAAAATAAAGACGACGAGACAGTTACCAAAACTGAGATAGAAGCTTTAATTTTAGCTTCTGAGCACGTCTGCTTTCCAAAGGTGTCTTAAAACCTTTGAGGCCTAATTATCACCACAGATGACTGTAACTCTAACTCTAAGCATCAGAATATGTAACATCTGTTCTTTTTAAAATGTTCTCCCAGGACTGGGCAATCAGGTTACAAAAGAACTATTTAGAAAGAAAGGACTAGGGTCAGGTTTGAGATGAGGGTCAGGTTTGGTAGACCTCAGAGTTAAAAGATTGGCTGTGCTGTACTTTCAACAACAGAGAATCCCAAAATTGAAAACTGAATACCTACCCCTAAAATAGTTGAATATTTGCACGATGGCTCTGACTAATAACTTGAGAAATCTCAAATACTGTATCTGTATTTGTACTTGTCCAATCTTAAATGTTCACTCTATTGAAAACACAACAGAAAGTGATTCATTTAGTTGAAAATTTTATTTAAACAACAACAAAAAACAGAAAACAGAAACATGATCACCAGCTTTTGGCCATAAACAGCCAATGCTACCCAGTCATATGTAAAGTGTTACAGCCAATGTGTGACCGACCTGTCACTGGGACACAAACTTTATTAAAATACAAAAGCAGTAAATTTAGGTCAGAGTAGTGAATAATATTACAAACTAACCACCTCCTGTTACCACTTTTAATTCATTTTTTATAT